GCCTTGCATGGACACATGAACATGTTTAGGATTCAGTGCATCCCTTTGTATGGACTCACAAACCTGTGTAGGATTCAGCACATCCCTTTACATGGACACAACATTTGGGCTCAGGGATGTGCCACCAGGGATAGGGCAGAGCACAAGGACAATGAACTGGGAACGTTCACTGAATTCAGTTTAGCAGCAAAATTACACAGAAACCATTTGAACTCTAACATACAAAAATCACCGTGGGTTCTACCCAGTCCCATTCTTGCCAGATTTACAACTAATTGGTGAATTCTGATGTGATTGTAATTTAAGATATAATTGTGTCTGTTTTATGAATTAGAAGTGAAAAAACACATTTGGTGGGCTGAATGAAATGCTTAAAATTATTTTACCTTAGCTAATCTTTCAGGGTCCCCAGGATGTCTTGGGATGACCTTCTGCAGTCTTTGGAAGCCGTAATCTATGGTAGGTTCATTTAAAGCTGCAAGGAAAACATCAAACCCCACCACATTATATGACTGTATCTAAACATGTATTTTTATATGGTTCTGTCCCAACAGGGCAACAAAGAAATCACGACTTCTGCACTTAAAACTGCTCCTATCTCCCTGGCTGCCTTCTCATCCTCTGTCAAGGGCTGAATGAATAATTTGCAGGATGCAGCAGCATTGTCACAAAATACTCCTTTAAGGACGAATGTTTCACTCTGGACAAAACCATGACAGCAATAAAGCAAATTATGAGAGAAATACACACTAGAACAGGTCTTCTCCTGCTGGTTACAGAGCCAGAAATCAGACAGCCCTGTTTGCTCCTCTAATAAACACATTCCACACACGCCCCCAATGTTTTGCAGTCCTGAAGTAGGGCACAGCTATTCATTAGACACATTCCCTTCCCCACTTGTGTGTTCTGCATACGCTGCCACTTCCCTGTAATGATCTTAATCTCTGGTGGATAAACCAGGATATTTTGACCCAGATCCTCAGTTAGCAAGAGCTGGCAGAGCCCTACTGGCATCGCTGATGATTTCAGAAAACTTCAGACACTTTCCTAGTCTCTGCTAGGAAACAGCAGCAATAATACTGGGATTCCTGATTGTTCAAACTCCAATTTAAATTGGTGCAGAACCCAAAAGTCAGCTTGCAGCATTCTGTGTGCTCAGGCTCTGCCTCCAACACCTCAGCAGTGCCGCTGAGCACCAGCACAGTTACAGGGATGATTTTCTTTGAATTCCCTCATTCTTCAGAATGCCCATTTAATACAAATGACACATTCATGCTGAGGATTCTGTGAAGAATTTCATGACACATTTAATAAGTAACATATGTAAGTCCTTTAGCACTACCCTCAGTCACTACCCTGAGGCTTAGACTTTCCTGTACCATTTGTGGTTCTTTTGGGAGGGAAAAAAAATCTTTTTTTAAAATAACTGGCACTGGCACAGCTGAAAACCCCTGATTACAAGAGATGCTGATGGTTCTTACTGAATGATCCAAAGTATCCTGAGCACCTCACAGGACAACACAGGAGCTCCAGGAGAAGAACCCAGCACGTGAGACAGACTTTTACACTGATCCAGGTTCCCTGTTTATCCCTGTTCCCTGTTTGTCCCTGTCTGCCTTTGGTGTAACGTCATGAAGGTAAAAGGTCACATTCTCCACTGAGATACATTTTATATTTACTTTTTATTAAATAATTATGGCATGGCATGAAGTTTAAATATTACAGGAGATAATCAAGTGGGAATTGAGCAGAGAAAACCCAGACCTGAGAATTTAGTCTTGGCTATACTTAGAATGTCTTTGCTCTCCACTGGGAGCCATTCTGGTTTGCTCAAGGAGTTTAATAATACACATTTCAACAGCCACAGAATCTACATCCCGTTTGGGAAGATGAGTTTTTGGGGGGTGGGCTATTTGGCCAATAATCCTGAGAATTAGAGGCCAATTCTCTCAAGAGCCTAAACATCATTATGTGGCATTTCTCTTCTTGATCACAAATCTATTCATTTAAGTGATATATCTAAAACTAAAGAAATGTGAAATATATAGGAATTCAAACATGTGAAATATACAGGGATTCAAATATATATAAAGTTACTAAAAATAGCTAGTGGGAATATGCAAAATGCTAATTCAGGAAGAAGAAGCTGGCTATTATTCAACAAACATTTTTCCAATGGATTGACATGGACAGTTTCATCCTGATAGATCAACAGCAGCAAATAATTTCCCAACAATGCTGAATTGTTCACAGGACTCAGCCCTCCTGAATCAATGTGTACATTATGTCTTTCAGCACAAAGGTTTTCTGTACAGCCTGCAACAAAATTGCCCACTACTGGGTTTACTCATTAATGGAACAAAAATATCTCTGTTGTGAAATCCTGTGAAAAACCAATACCAAGGATTTGGAGGAGTAAATTGCACCTTCCCAAGTGGAGGCCAAAGATGAAGAATCCACCAGCAAGTTTAAGCAGCTTCCCAACAATTCTGCTTCCACTGAGGAAAGAGCTGCTGGGTCAGGAGTGATTTATCTGTGTATTACATAGAAATATGCTGGAATTATGTCCAAATGCTTTGGGGTTCATGGATTCAGAGACCATAAAGGGGTCTGACACACAAGCAGGCTGTTCATTGTTTCCTAGAAATCAGATATCTGAAATGAAACCCCTCAGAAAATGGACTCAAGTCCAAAATCCCATTGGCAAACCTCAAATCCAGAGTTTCAGGCTTAAGGGGTCTCTTTAACTTCCCAAAACAGTTTAAAAAACTGGGCATGGCATGATATAATTTATGCACAAAAAAGAAGCCATCTAGGGAATAAGCTAAATTATCAGTGAGCCTGTAAACCTCTCCCTAGCAAAACTGTTTTAACAACAGATTTGTTGTATAAGAGTAGGGACGGATCTAAATGTGTCACCAACTACCTGACTTTGTTTGTGTGAGGCTCAGAGTCTGGACAGTGCCCCTTCTTTGATGTTCTTTACCCCTCAAAAGCTGTGTTTTTATCTTAAACACATATTCTGACTTGCTGGGATAGGAGGGGAAGGAGAATTCTCACAGCTGAGCAGGTTCTTCCATGGCAGGTGGCTGCAGGGCTGACACTGGGAGGGGTCACTGTCCCACCACCCCTCCCAGCACATCAGATGCTGCAGGAGGAGGGTGAGGATTGACCCTGAGTGGAGCAGCCTCTGCTGGTCTCACCCCGGCAGATCTGGGAAAGGGCCATGTCCAAGGGTGTCACTGACATCTTCTCATAAAAATCCTTTCTTTAGGATTTTTCCCCCTTCTGAGAAGCTGTGTCCTCAGCAACAAAATGTAAACAATGGCTATCTGCTGCTGTGGAATGCAACAGGTGGATCCGTGATTGGTCTCCTGTGGATGTTTGGATTTACTGACCACTCATGGCAGAGCTGGGTCTCGCTCTCTGCTGAGACACAGCCCTTGGTTATTGATTCCTTTTCTATTCTTAGCTTAGCTAGCCTTCAGAGAACTTTTCTCTCTATTCTTTTTAGTATAGACATAATGTAATATATCATAAAATAATCAATCAAGCCTTCTGAACATGAGGTCAACATTCTCGCCTCTTCATCCCACAACCCTTGTGACCGCTGTGACACAAGGGCCTCAGCACAGCACCTTGGACTCACCCCACAAAGCACAGCACAGGGAAAACAGGAGAATCAGAGTCTGGATATCTCTAGAAATATCCTGAACCCACAAAGCTGTGGCAGAGGGAGAGCAGTTTTTGCAGTGGGCTGCCCAACTTTTAAGGTGTTAACGGAGAAAAGGCACCTGTGGCATCAAAGTTTGAATCATGGAATGGTTTGGGTTGGAAGGGACCTTAAAAATCATCTTGTTCTACCCTGCTGCCATGGGCAGTCACAGCTTCCACTAGGCCTGGATGCTCCAAGCCCTGTCCAACCTGGCATTGGACACTCCCAGGGACGGGGCAGGCACAGCTTCTCTGGGCAACCTGTGCCAGGTCCTCACCACTCCACTGGGAGGAATTTCTTCAGTAAATCTCACCTAAATTTCCCCTCTTTCAGTTTGAACGCATTACTCCTTGTCCTGTCAATACAGACCTTGATGAAAGGTCCCCCTCTGGTTTTCCTGTCAGCCCCCTCAGATCCTGGAATTCTCTGTTTCCCCATGTCTTTCACAGGCTAAAGCAGTGACAGCAGGAAATGCTTTGTCACCTCAGCTTTTTCTGTCCAAGGAAACTCACTCTTCCAATTTATGGAGCTCTCTGCATCCTTGTAAGTGTTGTTTCTCACAAGCAGAAAACAAGAGCTCCAGTCTCCTTACAAGATTTAGCAAACCAGCACCTTCCCATCTCTGGATCCTGGCACAGAGGCTGATACAGCACAACCCAGAGCCCAGCCTCTCCCACAGATGATTTTATATTGCTTTGCTCTGACAAGGCAACCCCTGGAGGATTTCTGCTCAGCAAGGAAAATTATGTTCCAAATCTCCCTGATATACACATTTCCAGGTTAGCATCTCTGTGACAAAGTAAATGCAGAGCTGTGATCAAAGCTGAACTAGGAAAGCCTACAGACGTGCCCTCAGCTGGCATAAACTGGGGTGTTATTAAAGCCAAGGGAACTATAATGGAACCACTTACAGCAGCAGAGAATTTGAATTTGTGTCATATTAAAAGCAGAAGATGAGGCTACAGCAAGATTAGCAGCAGAGAACAAATGTCTTTTTATTCCAGGAGCAGCTGATGAAAGGAAAGCAATTCAGAACAGGGATGTGTGTGCAACCTCACGAGATGAAGGCACACGCAGGGAACAAGTGCTTGGGTGTGGTTGTGGGATCTCATCCTGTTGAGATTTTTACCTCAGATGCTTTTAGAGAGGGTTTTGACCTCAGACCATGGTGGACAGCAGACTGAGGGGGGGCACCTAGCTGGGTCACAGTGGGAGCTGTGGGTCCCTGGGAGCCAGCATGCTGACAGGACTGTCCTACATTGGCTCAGCTTTCCAGTTCTTTATGCCTGTTGGCTCAGAACCCTTTGCTGATAAGGTTCTGGGTTCATGTTTGGTTTAGGGCCTTTGCCCTCAGATGCCCCCATGCCTGGCTGTGCTTGCCCTGCCCATGAGTCCATGGAATCTGCCTCTGTAAACTGTGGTTGTCACCTTTTGTTATTTTCACTATTGAAGTTTTATTTTCCAGGCTAATCCATCACTCCCATTCCTCATTGTTAGCCAGCTTCTCCCAGCCAAGCCGAGCAAGGACATCACAGTGAGCTTGCAGCTCCTTATGTGGCCATTTAAAAACAGGCTTTTTTCACTCAGTTGAAGGATTTCATCTCTTCCTTCAGCTGCTAAAGTTGGTTCAGCCGCTGCCATTCCCCTCCAGCGAGCCATTTGTCTGGGCTTTTGCTCCACTCCCCAGCACATCGTTCCATGTCTACAGAACCCTGCTGGCTTCACTCTGACAGGGAGTTTTCCATGTGGGAACCTTATGGAAGAGTCCACACGTCCCATTTTGGTGAGGAGAGGAGGCTGATGGCTGGGCTGCAGCAGCCCTGAGTGAGAACACTTGGGAGTGGAAGCACTGAGAGCCCCAGAAGTGCAGTAGTGCCAGCACAGCACACTTTGCAGAAGCCCAACATTAAGACACGTTACAGGACACAATGAGCTCCCACAACAGCCTCACTGTGCCAGTTAGATTTACCCTTGAAATGTGCAGAAAATTTTTATATTAATCTTTCCAACAATTCTAACACCCACTGATTAGCATATGATCCCACAGACACAAACCCTCTGGAAAAAAAGGTACAGTCACATTCATTACATTTATCAATGGGTGAAAGAAAGTTTCAAACAATCTTAGTGTGACTCCTTCCAAAAAAAAAGAAAAATAAAAAAGAAAGAGAAGGTCAAATATAATCAGGCTGAATGTAAATATTAGGTTGTATATTCTGTAGGCAGGCCCATTTGTGACAGCAGTTGGGAAAAATATTAATGTGGAGTAAAAATGCCTTATGAAACCTCCTCCTTACACCCCTATGTGTCACCACTGCCAGAGTGGCCTTGGACAAGCAACAGGGTAAATTAATTAACAAATTAATTAATTCAAACCAATACCAGTCACCAACACAGCTCCTGCAGCCCAAATCCCAGGCACCCACCTGTGTAAATGAACCTGCCTGGTGCTCCTTTGCAGAACTGTTTGGATTTGTAGGACAATGTCACCTCCACCACGCCGGGGATGTGCCGGGGCGGCGTCTGCACGCGGATGGCGTGAGGTGTGATCAGCTGGGAACGGCAACAGGACAGCTCCATCAGGGCTCTGCTCTACCCTTGCACTTCACCAGTAAATTGCAGAAAGTTTGGGTTGGGAGGACCCTAAAGACCATCCAGTCCCACCCCCAGTGAACACCTTTCTCTATCCCAGATTTCTCCAAGTCCTGTTCAACCTTGCACACTTCCAGGGATGCAGCAGCGACAGCTTCTCTGGGCTACCTGTCCCAGAGCCTACCCTAAAAAGTGTCATCCTCATTTCCAATTCTACCCTTGTTCACTTTAAAACCATTCCCCCTTGTCCTGCCATCACAGGCCTCAGTAAAAACTCTTTAAAAAAAATTATCACTATAGATCAGCATAGGGATACACCTAGGTTAGAGCCTCACTTCCAGGGAGAGGATCACACATTTTAGGATGAATTGTCATCAAGAAACTTGTACTGTTAAGCCCATTGGTTAATTGATGGCTTATTCCTGGGCCCAGATGGATTTTTTTTCTCCTTCCGAAACTTAAACCCTTTCTTTATTTCTCGACCTTTGCTTATGTAAATAAACCTGTTTAAATAATAAACCCTGTGGAAAAATTGGTAGAGTAACATTCATTAAGTTCATCAGTGGGTAAAAAAAGATGTGAGAATATCAAATGTCTCCTTCAGCTCATATCAGGAGACAATTTCTAATAATTTCTTTGATTTTATAGACACCTAGAATTGTTCAGTTCCATTCTGGGTATCATTCAATAATATCACAGAGAAAGGAAAACACATTCCATAAACTCCCCTCACACAGGCTTCTGTGTCCCACCTCACAGCATGGAACAGGAACAGGAATTAACCCCGTTCCTCCTCAGAAAAGAGAAGTCTCCCCAGCTCAGGGGCAGAGGGGCAGCTGTACCCACCTCACTCCACACCAGCATGGTCCCAAACACCACCTGCAGCCCATCGAAGAAGTTGTCCCCGATGATGATCACCATGGCTCCCCCCGTGGTCCAGCCCTCGCTTGGGCTGATGGCTTTGATGCAGGGCGTGGCTGCACAGAACAAAAAAACATCAAAACAGCTCTTGAAGGTGTCTGTTTTCATCCTCCCCACAGCTTTGAGGCCTGGCTGTAAATCCCTGGAGCAATTCCTGTAAGTATCAAACATCCCAAGTGATGCAAAACCTGCATCACTGGTGGAGAGCAGCTCTACCCATCCACACCTGGGAATTCCTGAGTTCCCAATGCTAGCAGAGGCCTAGGACGAGTCCCTTCCAGCCATTCACCCATTGAGGCTTCTCACCACTCCACAAACCCCAGTATGCTGAGAAATAAATAAATAAATAAATAAATAAATAAATAAATAAATGAGTGTTTTCTGCCTTGCAAGTGTTAATTACTTGCCTATTCATTACTGGCACTTAACATCGTGTCATTAAAGCCTAATAGGCCAACTGTAGTGGGTGTAAAAATGAGATGCTTAAATGATTGTGCAGTGGTTGCTTAAAAAAACAAAATAACACCCACTGATTAGCATATGATCCCACAGACACAAACCCTCTGGAAAAAAAGGTACAGTCACATTCATTACATTTACCAATGGGTGAAAGAAGATATGGGAATATCAAATGTCTCCTCCAATTCATATCAGGAGATAATTTCTAATAATTTTCCTGATTTTATGGGGCATTTATTTTTTTTTTTATTTCTCTCTCCCATATGTTCAAGGCCTATGGACTATGCATCCCATCAGGAACCCAATATGGTTTCCAGGCCATAACCAAAGTCAATCCATCACTCCATTCCCAATGTTGACAGGGTCAGAGGTGGAGGGGAACTTTGGCAGTGCTCCAAAAACATGAGACTCCTTTGAACAGCCAGTCAATCACATCCAATCAGTCAAGGAAAAACTGGATGGCTTCCTAGGCTAGGAATCCTGGGATTTTCCTTCTACCATTTCACTGCCCGCTGGGGGAGAATTAACACCACTCCGAATTCTTTACTGATTCAATCATTTTCTTCCAGTTCATTAATTCTTCTTTTAGGTTGATACAGGGCACAGTTAAGAAGTGGGGCAGCAAAACATTATAATGAAATAATATCCTTGCTTGTCTTTTCTACTAACATCACCAGCTCTTCTCACTTTCAATGGCTGCAGGAGAGGGAAAAGCAGGCACTGATAGCACTTTCCAGCATTTTCCAGTCGGTTTTGAGCACTGTCTGCATGAGGGAGGTGGAATGTTTTGGGAACGAAGAGGGAGAGGAGGGGCCGAACGTTTTGAAACTTAACAGATACAAGAATTTGTAATTGCTTGAACACAGTCCCCAACCCATCCTGGAGCTGGCCATGAGTCTGGCTTAGCCAAACAAACTCACATCAATTAGTGTCAGCTCCCTCTGCGCATCGTTAGGCTCCGTGCACAGTTTGTTTAAGGGAACCAGTGACACTTTTTCATACACATCTTGTGCTGGAACGGCTCTGTTTAACTAAGATGTCATCTTGCCTAATTTGCCTGAAATCAAATCTATCCCAGCTGAATGAGAGGGCTGAAATTTAGATAATACTTAGTGTTTCTGTGTTTTTCATCTTTGCAGTACATACTAATTAATAAATTGCAGGGGGATGGGGAGTCAGTCCCTTAGATGTGAGGAGGATCATATTTTGCATGCAGTAGACACTGTTTTCCTGCCTCTGCCTTCCCCAAACCCCCTGAGGCTCTGCAATTCCCCCTTAGCTCTCCTTCCCTCCTGAAAACAAACAGAAATGGAAGAATGGGTAATTTCTGCTCTGCTCTCCAGACAGAACTCCCACCTTCTGAGGGGTCGAGTCTTCTTGCTCTCCGCCCGTGCTTGGAGTTGTTGTGCACGAACATGTTGTCAGACACTGCCAGCACGTGCCCATCCACGTTCACTGTTGTTGATAGCACCACCTGGATATTTAGAAAGAGAAGGAAAAAACAGCCAGGTAAACAATTTATTGTAAATTCAACTTGTTAAGGATTAATTATTCAGTTCGGCTGAACTTTACACCCTTGTTTTGTAAAATGGCAGAACACCCTGCAGAGGTTTAAGAAGGGGAAAAAATATTTTCACCCTTCATTCAGTGCATTAATTTCATTTAACACAGCATCCTGTGGGCAGTATAGAAGCCTCACTGTAAAATGACCCAGCTCCTGCAGGATGGAAACTCCATGAAAACAGGACCTAATATTATGCCTGAGTTTGATATGGTGCCTCCTGAAAAATCATCTGAGCCTGAGCACCCCAAACCAAGAACAGGTTTTAAACATCAACCTCCATGACTGGGCTCCAATCTGAATTCTTAGAGGAAATAACTGTATATATTAATTAATCTCACTTTAGTTTTTACAGTATCCAAAGCTCTAAATACCATCAATCCAGATAAAGATATGTGACTTCAAACCACAAACTTTTGGGAAAAACAAGTGTTTTAACCCCTGAAAGAAGATGCCCTCTGACTGAGTGGTTTTGACCATTAGTTGGTGTAAATGAGCTTAATTCCATCGCACTGCCGCACCTACAGTACAGCACAGCCATGAAGAGTCAAACCCTGCATGTGTTCATGGATTTTCACAGCCTCAGATGTCACAGCTGAGGTAAGAGAATGTCAAGCTCTAATTGTTGATAAAACTCTATCCAGCACAGAGCAGGAGAGACCTTGCCCTCCCCTGGCTTAGGCGAGCTTAAAGAATACTTTCTTTCTCGAGACAACTCTAATTCATTCCAAAAGGCTCTTGTCATCCTGTACTCTTATACTTCTCAAGCATTCTTGTCACAGAATGTGTTGCTTTTGTGTGCCAACTGATTTCCTCATTCCCATTAGGGTGGGGTGTGACTCCATCCAAAGGGAACGTTTCCCTCATGACATAGCTGAGCCCACTCAGATGCACTTCATTATTTTCCCTTCAACAATGGAAATAAATTTTAGTCTCTCACTGGCCAGCCCAGAACACTCTGTGGCAAAGGGGAATAGGCCTGAATTATTCCAGTGTCTGAGATATTTACGACAAGTGTTTAAATTGCAACCAAATGTAAATAAAAAGTGTGTCTTGTATATACAGTTACACTATGGAATAGAGACATCTCTGAGCTCATTTACACGAGTGGGATAAATACACACCCACCTGCTCTCAGGAAGAGAACAGAGGCAGACTTCAAGTGTTCACACATAGAATGGAGTCATGGAATGTCCTGAGTGGAAAAGGGATCATCCAGTCCAACCCCAGGCCCTGCACAGACACCCCAAAATCCCACCCTGGGCACCCTTGGAGTGGTGTCCAAACCCTCCTGGAGCTGTGGCAGCCTCGGGGCCGTGCCCATTCCCTGGGGAGCCTGGGCAGTGCCAGCACCTCTGGGGGAAGAGCCTTTCCCAAAATCCAACCTTTCCCTGATCCCCAACATTTTCATGGTCTCCAGCCTGACCCTCCCTGGCACAGCTCCAGCTGTTGCCTGGTTCTGTCCCTGTCCCAGAGCAGAGGTCAGTGTTGGAATCACCATTTGGGTTGTGCACAACACAAGAGCCACATTTTGGTAGGAGATATAGAGACCCCCACAGCAATGGCAGAGTAATGGCAAGAACCAGTCCAGAAGACAAGTGCTGAGCATCCTCTGCGCCCTGAGCCAGCAGGAATGGAAGATGCGCTTCTAGACCTCTCTCCATGTGTGGCTCCATTTTTATCACCTCTCCCATGCATGACAGGAGGGCCAGAGCCGCTTGGCCTGTCACAGGCTGGGAGCCAGGGTGAATAAACAGAGCATTCTCATGGACAGGGCAAGATACAAAGTTCAGATGTGGAGCAGAACCTTCTCAAAGTTTGGGACCTTTTTTGCTGTAACCTGAATTTCAGCAGAGACCTTTGTCATTGCTACACCACCACCACCCAACTCCTCATCCACGGTGTGGAAAAAGGACATGTGAGAACATGGACATCAAAATGACTGAATTTCTTCACTTTGCCCCAGCTGTTCCCTCTTGCCTGATGGAGAACACAATACAATTGTTTTATTCTGGAGAATAAAAGCCAATGTTTTATGGATAAAAGGAGGAGGAATGTGCATTCCACCATGGTCTCTAACTCCCAGGCCCTTCCCTTTCACAAGCCAACTGCTTTCCCCCAGTGAGTATTTCCTGGGTCATGAAGGGTGACCCTTTCCATCTGGAATCAATCAGTCAACTCCTGACAACTTCCTGAAACACCTCACTCCATTTCCTGTTCTCTCCCCCTTCCCTCTTTCCCCCTGGTTTGCTTCACTCTTCAAAACTGCAGGCCACAGCAGCTTAATGTTAGAGGGTCAGACACAGTTAGACTCCAAAACACTACACAAGAACACCTTTGACCTTCAAAAATCTTTACATCTTAGCTAAACAAATCAAGGTCAACATTTCTTACCATTACCTTGTTAACCATTTCTATGCACTTTTGCCAATACCCTCCTGAACACGTATTTATCAACCACACTTGTTCTCCCAACGTCGTAAAATAGTCCAAACCCTTTTCAAAAACCCTGTATTTAGTGCTGATGAAAGGTGATGTGCAAACTTCCCTGGAGATTTAAATTCTGACTTTTGCCCACAGCGCTGGCAAATGGTTCTGGTGAGTTTTTCTTCTCCTGCCCTGGTGCCACCACTTCTTGTGTATGATAATTTGGCTTCTTTGCCTATTCTCTGTGGATGATCTTTTACCTAACACCAGTTGTTAATGCAAAATTTAATCTAAAGGGAATGATCTGAGACCAACAAAATAGGTCAGGTAGATTGTGGATTCTGGTAAGTGAGGCTGAGGGCCAAATTTTAGGCACAGACAGCATAAAAACTTAAGATTTTGTGCCACCCAAAAGCTGGACCAAACTGTAACCTCTACTGAGGTTTCAGAGCACAGCAAGCAAGAAAGAAATAGAGAGGGCAATGTGTTATTCCTTCATCCTTCCAAACACAGATCCCATCTCCCTCAGAACACCGGGGGAATTGAGGATTCTAAGCTGTTTTCACGCTCCTTGAGGTTCTCCCTGCCAATCTGCAAAGGTCTTCTTATCAGCTGAGAGGCCACAGCCATAAAGCTGTGGCTCCCCAGCAGTCCTGGGGAAAGGCTGGAGCTGTATCCACATTATTTTTGTTTCCCAGGTGGATTTCTGTAATGCAATCCTCGCTCAGAACCCACAGGGAGGGTTCACCTCCTGTGACATCCAGCCAAAGTGCCTTTAACACTTTAAACTCGGCTCCTCTGAGCCCTGCTGCCCCTCTTTCACCTCCCTGCACAGCTCAGGGGGTTGTGTTTCTTTACAAACCTTCACCTGGGTACTACAAATTTCCCTCCCCTAACTGTGTTATATCAGTATTTTTATATTCTAAAGTGTGCTGCTCTTCAAATCACAAATATGCAAATCCATTCACATCCTCAGATATAAAATCCGCATCAGTCACAGACACCTATTTAGACATATGGTACAAACATTCCAGGCATACAGGCATTTACTTACATGTAACATATCTCATCACTGTGTAAATGATCTCTCTCAAAAAATTCCTGTTACCATTCCAAGTGTGGAAAAAATTCTTTATGACATTGTACATCTGGAAACAATATTGCATTCCTGATGCACTTTCCCTTGTAATTCTCTAGTCACAGCACCATGTTATTTTAACTTTTCAAAAAAACCAAACCCTGTTATGAGGATTTAAAAAAAAATTTATTATTATTATTATTATTATTATTATTATTATTATTATTATTATTATTATTATTATTATTATTATTATTATTATTATTTCCCAGCTGAGAGGAAGGAAAGATGTCAGGCCTCATCCTGCTGCCTGGACTTGGACAGCACTCCCATTGATGTCAACAGGAATTTTGGTTGAGGGAGTAACACAGGAGGAGAGCCTGGATATTATGGGTTTGCCTCAGAGTTGGATTAGGAATAAGATAAACAATGTGGAAAATGCCAGCAGCCTCACTCTGCTCAAAGCTTCCATGGAATTCTTTGGGAAATCCTCTCCACAAGCCTGATCCTGCAGACTGGGGGCTGAAGCTGAAGGTTCTTGGGACACAGGCTTGGACACCACTCCTGGGTCACTGACACCTTGTCTGCTGCTGTTATCCGCAGACAAACCATGGAGCTGCTTTCCTAAAATCGTTTGCAGCCATTTCCACCTTCTGCCTTTGACACTCGTCTTGTTTTAAAGCCTGGTGATGAGGGAATTTATGGCTCACAGCCTAAATTTATTCCTAGTCAGTTTGTACTTAACATTAGCTTTAAGATTATTATTTCCCTTCCTGACCTTCCTGAGGGTAATTTCAGAGAGCAGTTCCACCCCTCCCCAGTGCAAGTATTTGAGCCAAACTCTTGTCCTGCCCCTGTCCCCTTAATGACCCATTCCTGCACCTGTTCCAATGTCATTTTGCTCTCCTTTGGCTGTAGTTAATCCAGTGTATTGTACCCAAACAAGAATTCAGAGGGGCCCAACACAACAAATCTGCCTCCTTTGTGCTGGCAGTCTGAGGCTGAGTGGATCTCATCTGTGGTTTGTTTTTAGTGGATGAGACATCACTCTGGGAACTCTCTTTCCCCATGGATATTTGGCCTTCAGATCTGAGCACATTAAGCTCCTTGAGTACTTTTTCTCTTGCAATTGAGTCAGTCCTTCCCTTACTCACTCAGAATATAAAATAACATCACCTTTTGTTGGGTCAGTCAGTACCCGATGAAGAAATCTGCCCCCTCCAGGAACAGGCCCAGGCTCTGCTGACAGCAGCTGCGTTTGTTTTGCAATCTCTGCCTGGGAAATGAGTCCCCCATCATGATTGTTCCATGCAGTGTTCACCTCTTCCAGCAGCTCAGTGATCCCTGTCCATATCCCAGCCTGACCACGGGGGTCTCTGGCACTTTCCTTCCCCGGCAGCCTGAACAGGATTCCCATTTAGAGCAGTGATGTTTTATCCTTGCCATCCTTTTTGCTTCCTACAGCCTTCATTCCTAACTCCCAATATCATCCCACCCCTCTCCATCATTTTCCATGTCCCTGAGTGCCACAGAGCCCTCAGAGCTCTGGATTAGAGTGAGCTGGGTGAAATCCCAGCCCCAGCCAGCTCTGCCCACGTGCCTGATGATGAACTGATCCAAGCACTCCGAGGTCAGGAAGGAAACCTCCCCAGGGGTGCACCTTGTTATTTTTCCTTTCTCTTTCTCCCTAGAGCATCTAGAGGAGGGGGGGTACCTGCCAGGAAACATTCCATGTCATGTTTTCTGCTGAAAACAGAGGGCAATTACTGACCTTTCTCATTTTGCTCCTAAGAAAGGACATTGGTTCAAAGCTGATCACTGTTAGAACCAATGTCTGCTGCCTGCTACCCCTCCCTGCTTAATCCCTGTGCTCCTGGAGGAAACAGGATTCCCAACCAACAGGAGCCTAATGTGTGAGCACCACGTCTCAGCTGAAGAGCCTCACCTTAATTCTACAGAATTATTGTCCCCCTTTACACACCACTCGTTATCATTAAAGTATCACTGGGCTTCAATCAAGTTCTGCAGGAGAATTCCTCATTAAATGGAGGGCAGAGTTTTTGGGGGTTTTATTTTTGAGTTCCATTCCTGGGAGAATCCCTCACTGAGAACACAACCCTGACTAACAATACCTATGCAAACTCAATTTGCAGAGGAGCTGAACTCAAACCCTGTGTTTAAATAAGTAATTTTGGGATGATTTTTGCCTCAGTTTTCCACCCATCAGCTTTATTTGGAAACATTTTAATTTGTAAATAACCAATATTTGTTTCAGTTAAATTCACAAGGACATACTGCTTGAGCCCTGTGGGTTTTGGACAGCCATCAAGTAACTATGAAAGTACCCCTTAGTTCTAGAAATATTCCCTTTCCTTTAGCTCTAGAAAGAGTCTCTTTCCCTGCTTTAGCCACTGACAGACATTGAAGAAGTGATTCACAATAAAATCATGTTACTATAGGGGGAAAAAAAACCTCACCAAAATAATGATCACACATTCCTTAACTTCTGATGTAAAACATAGTTTTCAACAGCACAAAATCATTGCATTTGGTTAGAAAAGGAAGGCAAGAGGATCACAAAGCAGCTGGTGTTGCTCTCCAAACTAAAGAATTATAGTAAAAAACCACAACTCTTCAGGCATCTGGAGCTGCATTAAATTTACAACACGATGTTAATGCAACCTTTCCTCCCCTTTCTCTCCCCACCCCCCCTTTTTTAATGATACACATGAAATCTAAGATTCAATTTATCTTAATATACTACTAGTATAATATGAAATATCTAAATCTTGTAGTGGCTCTGGAAGTGAGGCTGGGGCCAGGCATGGACACTGGATCCAGTGCTTTGGAGCTTTGGGGATGAGCCAAGCCAAGCCCAAACTGTGCAGCTTCACACCCATTTTAATCAGAAGCATTGCTTGATGCTTTTCCATCATGAGTAACCAGTGCTCTGTGCTGGAAAGCTCAGTAGGATGCATTGCAGGGCACTATTTCCACATCTCATATTTGTACTTGTGCCTCAGCTCTGGGCTTTCATTCAGGCTCCATTAAAGAACAAAAACAGTCTTGGACAAGACCCTTCCAAGCCCAGGTTTCAGCAGTGATTTAAATGAGAACTTTGCTAGAAGGATTTTCTCTGCTCTTTTGTTTAACAACCACAGAGGAAAAGGAGGATCCTGATGTCTCCTGGAGGTTTGACAAACACTTCTCCATTGAAAGTGAAAATGTTTGGTTCTGCAGAACACAGATAGGAATTGAAGCACACTTAGATGAGCATTGCTGCAGAATTCTGTTTGCATAAGGAAAGCCAAGTGCTTGGAAGTGTCTGGGAAAGGAGGGACCTAATAACAACAGCTGTACAAATAATTTATTGGGGGAAAACCAGCAGAATTCTTAGGTATGGCCCAAGACTGAAACATAATGAATTAAATAATGAAATGAATAAACCACTCTGCTGCCCTGTGGTTTTTGAGCCTGCTTTTTCTCTGCTCACAGGTTTCTGCACTGGCAGGATGCACAACTACCCCTTCAAACTTAATAGACAACTCTGCACATTCATTACTCTGCCTGGTGAATATCTTAACAATTAAAATGAAAATTAACATGTCCAAAGTGTGCAAACAGACCACTAATATTTTAAAGTAATTTTTTTCCCCCCACTTTTGACTTTCAGGGTTGCTGACAGGCCATGCCCAACAAGCAGCAGGCAAAAAGAATTTATGAAAATTTTAAAACAGAAAACTCAACAAACACAAAAAGAAATCAATCAAAAATAAAAGAAGTGTCCAGAGGCCACAGGAGTGTTTAAGAACACTCCTAACTCTGGTTATATTCAGGGAAGAAATGATGATGTCCTTAGAAACCAGGAGGCAGACAGAAAACAAGCTGTCTTTGCCCATTGTCCTTCCTGTTCATCATGGCTAATTTGCTTTGGAACACGGAGCTTTGTTATTCCCAGGGTGTCAAATTTTAGCAATTTGAGCCACTTTTTGTATCTTTTTTTATCCACACTGACCTCTGCAGCCCAGAACAAAGCTCAGCAACCCATGAGTCCAGCTCTGAAGCAGCCTGAATGAAGATCCTGCTCTCACTCAAAACCTCAAGCATTCTGCCATTTGTCTCAAAGGTTTTCGTTCTGTAACTCTGAGAAAAGGTTGGCATCTTTGGGGGCTGTTGATAAAAACTAAACTGAACTTAGTCGTTTTAAAGCCTGATCTTGATTAATTTGGGGGCCTGAAGTGAGCTCTCACACTGAGACTCCCATGGAGTGAACGTGCAGGAGGAGTTGAAGTTACCCCAGAGAAACAGAACCCTGGAGTTTCACTTGGCTCTGCTTTCCCAGCTTGGCATGTTTGGAGGCAGAAAACGCAGCTGAGGAGTCTGTCCCAGCTCATTCTCCTCAACAAAGTGCTGATTTTGGTGCAGGGACCAAAAGCAAGGCCAGGCAGAGAGCTGCCCCGTGGATGGGCTGAGGAATGAAGGAATTCCATCCTCATCCACAGCACCCTGCAGGATCTGGTGCTGTTTCCCTGTTTCAGGTTTCCCTGGATGTCTGAGGCTGTTGGGCTCTGTCACATCCCCATTCAGGTGAGGTGACACCAAGAACAATGCTAAGAACACAGACAGATTAAAGTTTGATCCAAACTCCTCCTTCAGCTCAGCCTCTGATGGACATCAAGGATTTGAGGATTTTTTTGGGAGTAGCCAGCATGGGTTTGAAACCAGAGCTGAATTTCTCCAATATTCCAATGTGTTTGGGTGCAGGATTTCTCTTTTGGCAGTTGCAGCCAATATTCTGTGTATTATGGCAGTGCCTCAGGTCCCCAGGTGTTAATCAGGAGAGCCCTGGGCACAATTTTTTACAAACTCAGAACAAAAACCCCCAAAAAATGAGATTATTTATGTTTCCTGACATTCCACAATCAGTTCTTCTTGCTGGCTCCAAAAGCCAACAAGATGTGTTTACATGCTGTAAAAGAGGTTTTCTTTTGCTTTCCAGATTTTTTAGCGTTCTTGGCAGATGATAACTAATTGCTGGTTCTTTTCTTTATGGAAACTGCCACTTGAAAAAAAACTCAGTATAAGTTCCCTAACAATGAGCACCTCTTTCTTTCTCGTGTCTTATCATCTCTAAAGAACACAGAGTGAAGAAGTCACTGCAGTCTCTTTAAACTACTGGTGAAAAAAATTAGGTTGGTCAGGAATTTTTATTTAAATTTCTTCATGCTCCAAACTAAAGGGTAATAAAACTTTTTTTTTTTTTTTTTGCATTTCCTTAATTTTTCTGAGCTTTCAGAAGATTTTGTTTTGCAGGATTTCTCGTAAAAGTTGAAACTTTTTCTAAAAATTATTAAATTTTTCAGTGCTAGCAGAAGTAGAAGAAAAATAAAAATGACTGCATTTTGAGAATGTATTTTGATGGAAAGTCTGAAGCAACTCTGTAAACTCCAGTGGAGTTTTAACTCCGTTTATAAATGAGGAAGCTCATGTAAGTAACCCCGTTTGGAATCAGAGATGAAAAGAGGGAAAATGGCTCGTCAAAAGTCCCCCAGAAAATCTGGGGTGCAGCCCAACCACCTGATTCCATGGCTGTGCCTCAGCCTTGCCCCAGAGTCAGCTCCAGCCCCACTTTCTGCCTTCTGACAGCACATCCAGGCTCTCAGAGCTGCACCATCCCCTTGCTGCTCTACCAGGGGCTGAGCTAATGGTGAAACTGTTATTTATTAAACAGAGCTGCCGAAAAGGTGAGGGCAGGAGAGCCTCTCCTCTCCTCTCCTCTCCTCTCCTCTCCTCTCCTCTCCTCTCCTCTCCTCTCCTCTCCTCTCCTCTCCTCTCCTCTCCTCTCCTCTCCTCTGACATCTCAAAGTGACCATCGCTATTTTGGCTTCTTGGTTGTTGTTTTTTACAGAAGCTGAAGGGAGGGTGTGAGAGTGTTAGAAAGCAGAAAATAACAGGGAAAGAGGTAGGAAATGAGGAGGTTGCTTGAGTAGCACGTACAGAGCTACTTTGAACAATTCTGAGGCATCTAAATATCACAGGCACGATCCCTGCTGTGGGCAGCTGGATCTGCGAGTGCTTTGCCCGAGGGTGTCAAATCAAATATCCACTGCTGGTTGGTACAGTACAGCACTTCCCCCTGGGGATTCGGGGTGGAGAAGGAGGGAAGGAAAAGAAAGGAAAAGGGAAAAAAAGGTTTAAACACAACAAATGGAGAAAAACTTGAACGCTGTCTGATATGGCTTTTGTCATCGTGTTTGTTAGGGGCAGTGTGGGAGAGAGGAGATGGGAAAGGAAAAGAAGAACAAAGGCAGACAGGTTAATGCTGAGCCTTGTAAGACTTACCTGGAACCGTCTCATATCTCTTGGGTTTCCTGCTGTTTTCAAGCAATTCTGATTGCACTTGAGAAAAAATTTTAGGAAGAATCTGGAAAGAGAAAGAACCACATCACTTCTATTAAACACAGCAAAAGGCATTGTTATATTCTGGTTTAAAATGTACATGAAGTGGTTTGCATCATACTGGGTCTTACAGGACTGCAAGAATTTATCAAAACACAAACAAACCAAACTCTAATAAATGGAATTTACAAAAACCAGCACATAAAGTATAACCAGTGTGACTGAAATCCACTGTGGTGTAAGTGAACATCATTCCTCTGATCTACACCCAGTCCCTCTCCACAGGTTTGACCACACAATTTTAGTCTCTTTCTTATCCCTCCCTCACATTCAAGATCTTTCTTTGGCTGTCTGGAGGGACTTCCCATGAAACAATATAGAAGGATAATGGTATTGTGGAGACCACAAAACCAACAGGGCAACTCCAAAGCAGACAAGCCTTGGAATGTATGAAAAACCCAGGAGCAAACACCGCTCAGGGAGGAATCTGATGAGGATTCATTCTGATGGTGTTTTTTTCTGATGAAGATTCCTGTCACAAAAGCAGAGGAACAGAACTGCCAAAAGCCCAGACTGTTCCTACCTAGATTTGGAGGGAGGATAAGGAGAACACGAGCTCAAGTGAAACATGACAGCTCACGCTGTCCGAGCAGATAAACCCATTAATATCCCACAAAGTTCTCGTGCCAATTATTTTTGTTCTGTCACATACACCCATCTTCGTATGGTTTATTATTCTGTAGAGTTTACCTTGTCATGTACCCAAGTGGAATCTCCAGCCTGTTTGGTGACTCACCCAACACTGCATGGAGATTTTAGAGGTTAGAAATATTCAGCAGGAATTTTTCCCTAAGCTATTCCACCAAATTTTGTCTCACATCCACGGAGGAAAGGATTCACCCCTTTGTTTTCTGATTGAATCTGAACACTTCAGAGGTGAAGAAATTGTGAAAAGCCACAGTTGTTGGAACAAACAAGTTTTCAAAATTTAGGCATAGGCAAGAAATATTTTGGCATCCTCTGTTGCAAGTGAAAATATTCGTCGTGATTCTTTCCGTTTCTATTTGTCAGACAAGATGGGTTTAACGCAACAATTATAATTAAAAAAATAAATCAAAGACTTTGAGATAGATTTAGAAGGAAAAAGAGTCATATACAAGAAAAAATAAATAGTTGAAGAATTGATTTTGAATACAAAGAACAAGTTATTTATTTATTTCTCTTGCTGAGTGCTTGCCTTTAAAAAAAAAATAAATCTGCTTTTGCAGTAAGTTAAAGTCCCAGGTGAGCCAGGCCTATTTCCCTTTCTGTTACTATGACAACGATTTTTTACCGCAGTCCCTAAGTCCCTTCAGAACTCACACATTCATGCCTTGAATTAGAACTTTAAAGGAGAAAGATGGATATTTCCTGGGTTTACCAACAACACCCTCCAAACCAGCCCCAGCACAAGACAATAACGCAGAAATCTGCTCCCCTTGTTAGTGCCACTTTCTCTGCACTACTCCCACCACAAGATTTCTCCTCCATCTGCCCAAAATACAAAGAAACAGCCACGGGTTGGATCCATTTGTGTGTTGCTTGAACAAACCAAACCCCTCTGCAAACCTCACCCACAAAAAAGACACAGATTGCACCACGTAAAACCACTGCCCAAAACCCACCATGGCCAGAGATCTTTTTCAATTAAAATGTCCTCTTTTTAACTATTATTCCCTTTAATATCTCACAAACACATTAGATATTTTTAAAATGTTTATTTTCTCAAGGTGAGACTGTTATTTTCTCCACATTTCCTTCTCATTTCAGGTCTTGCTTCAGCAGGACATTGAGGTTCAGCAGGACAGAGGTGTCACAGGGCAACTTCTGCCAACAGAGCCCTGGGCACCTCCCTGGCTTCCAAACTAAAAATCTTACAGAATTTCATGCCTTGGGAGCAGCACTGAATATATTTTATTAAATAAGTCCTGTCAAGTCCATGCTAAAACCTGTGACCCCTTTTATACGAAAGATTTGGTGAGATTTTATCCATAAAAACATTTTCAGAAGGAAAAAATCCTCTGCACACTGGCACTCTCAGAGACTCACAGGATAATGTGAGGCATAAATGTTACTCACAAACACTCCTTTTTCTCTTTCCCTCTTCTTAGAGATATAAAAAAGAATATTTGCAGATATATAAAAAGCTTATAGATGTGTCTGTGCAAAGGAAAACTCCAGAATGAAACCAAACTATAAAATGAAACAAGACAAGGAACTTTTATATGAAAATCAATGAGCCTCTGGCTGATCATTCTGCAGGAAAGCCACCAAAATAAAAATCACAAATTGTTACTTCTAAAGAAATATGAAATAAATTAAGCAGGAAAATGGCCAGCTTATTTTTTAGTTTTTTGAATGCTTGCATCCCTTTTGATAGAGATGAGAAAAATTATCAACATGAACCAAAGAACGAAGAAAATGAGCAGGGAAAAGTGTTTGGGAGAGAACTTGCAGTGTCAGCTGGGCTGGTTTTGGGAAGAGGACAGATCCTGGGGGACTGTGAGTGACACAACCCCTAAAAGGCAGATACAGAGAGGCAAAAACTCCAAATGTGCTTTTCACAGCATCCACGAGCAAACTCTGCAGCACGGTGTGGCAAGGAACAAAAATCCCCTTTTTCTGCTAAATGCCTACAGAAAACCAGGGTTCAGCCCCCCAGCAAACACAAACCAGCAGCACACCTGAAAATGAAGCTGGGCTCCAATTAAATCCGGGCTGATTCGTGCCAGGGGGGGCAATGGGCATTAAAAAAATACAGAAAACAAAACTTGCCCAGTGCCCAAGCTGCGGCAGCGCCGAGGTTCCCAATCCTCCCCGAGTGCTCTGCACCAAACACATCCCAGCCACGGAGCATCCAGCCCTGGGCATCCCACTGACGGTCCCACTGAGGGCTCCTGGAGCTGCCCTGACATTCTGGAACTGATGAACAGCTCCAAATGCTGAAAGTTTTGCTGCTTTAAGACATCACAAAATTGAGAAAGGGCTGGGTTTTCTTTTAGTGCTTAAATATCATGGCAGAATTTGTATTTATTTTGCTAAGATTTGTTGGAGATCACTAGATATGCTGCACTGTGACAGTTTCCCTCCCATCACCCCAAAATTTAGATTTAATTTCATTTAGCCGCCCGCACAAGGATTTTTATCTTTTTTTAATTTTTTTCCCACACCTTTCTTTTTCTCTTTTCCAGAGTTTCTTCAGTCAAATTTGAGCTGCAAGTGGGCATCTGTATGAAGTATTTGGAAGGTTGTTGTATATACATTTATACACATATATACCCATATACATATATATGTGTGTTTGTGCATGTACCAATGTGGGGGTTTTTTTTAAGATGTTACATCTGGGAAAGGCATTAATATTTATTGCAGCATTAGAATAAAAATGACTTGGGGGGAGCAAAGAGGAGGGAAGGTTTAGCACTAAATGAAGCTGATTTAGGGGTAACAAGAGAATTGCAGAAAGATTTTATTAATTTCTTTAAATGAGACACTTTAGCCAGTTTTTGGCCTTAACCTACATATATATGAAAAACAATAATATTTTTTTAAATAGAATTATAAAAAAATAGCTGATTTTGATGGCTCTGGCCAATCTTTAGCCTTGCTGAGGACAGAATTAGGGGGAAGTTTAGCAGGTGACTCTGGCTCCAGCCAAGCAAAGGGGCCTTGGCCCATGCTCTCAATATTTCAGGATGGTGGGGGAAAATTTAAACACATTTCAATAACTACCCCTGAAAACTCTGGCATTGCTATAGAAAAGCAGATTGACTTAATGCACAGACATAAAATTAATTAAGACATAAGTATAGATTTCTGTTCCTGTTGTGTCTCTGTCGTCGTTGACCTCTCTGGGTACAGATTGAGGTCTCCAAAATGCCACCTTAACTCTGCCTCCCTCTTTTTAGAGCTGTTTTAAAAGTTACTGCTCCTCCTGCTGGGAGCTCCCACCAAGCCCAGGAGTTCAGCTGGGGAATGGCTGAATTTCCCCTTTTCACTCCAGGCCAAAGTCAGCCGTGTTATCCCAACTCCATTTCAGCAACGCCTTGAGCAATCCCTGGTGGGGAGCACCAGGAGAGCTCCCAGCACTGCTGAGGGTGCGTGCACGTGGAGAAAGGGTGAGGGCAAACGAAGCCAGGTCTTGCATCAGTTAAACTGTTCCCAGAGCAGGTTTAGACCCACAGTCCCATCTTGCCTGTCCATGCCCAAATAATCAGGTTCTGTGCCTGGCTAGGACTGGAACCTGTGCTCCACACCTGTGAGGATGTTTGTCCACCTCAGATGAGTGGGAAGAATCAAATTGACCTTAGTCAAATCCTGCTGGAGTCAGAAAACTCTTCCTGGTGACTTTGGCAGGACTAGGCAGAACCCTAAAGCTCAGTCCCACATGCAGCAGAAAGTGTAATTTTAAAAAAATAAATAAATCAATTAATAATTTTTATCCTCCATCCACCTTTTATCCTTCATTAAAATAGAGGTACAGAATCAAGAGGTCCAACATTGGCTGTATGTTGGGAACAGCCTGTGGGTACACCTAAAATTCTGGACATAACTAAAAATTCTCCCTTGTAAATTTCGGGGTTGCTGTGGAATTTGGAGTCGTGGCCTCAGTCATTTTTTGGCATGAGAACACACCCATCTAGGATAATTCTGAATTTGCCTACTAGCAAATCCTGTGATCCCAAAACCTAATGAAAATATAAAGATACAGTGCAATTCTGCTTAAATAATTCAGTGCTTCCAAAATGTCACAAAGAGAACAAAGAAAAACCAGAAGTTGCTACTATGGGTATTAGTGTAACAATATTAAATTGAAATATACTGTGAACTGCAAAAGTGTTATTCTTGCAGTGAGGGCCTGACTCCAGCTCCATCAGAACAAGGGAATTCTGGATCAGGTCAGATCCTCCCCTCGGGCCTCCTGTGTGTGTCTTGGCAGGGCAACCTCTGAGAAAAGTGGGACCAGAGCCCTGCCCAGTGCCCCAC